GCGTGAAGGTTTATAATGGAATATTCTCTTTCCCGCCCCGGCATTGTTGTAACTCAGATAGTTACATCTCAATTCAATGTGGCACAATGGGAAAAGACGCGTGCCACCAAAATTGCAAACAACTGCAGGCGCTGTAGGATGACATCTGCTACATGCGATTTCTCCCATTCTTGCAATTGTTTGGCTGGGCTGTTGCTTTCATCCTGTGGTTAGAGAAGAACATAAGTCAGATCTGCATTTGACCCAATTATCAAGGTGTCAGCCCTTGTGAATGTTCATCCCAGCAACACATCTGGGTGCTCAAGTGAGAGAAAATTATTTGGCACGACTGGACCGGTGACAAAACAGCTGAAGGGGGACATTTGGAGCTATAGGTCCTGTTGAGGAATAGCCTGACTTCCTTGTGTTGACAGTGTGAGAGTGGCTATGAAAACAGTAGTGGTGTAAGGGATATAACTTTACTCCAGCAGTGAAATTAAATTTTTTTTACTACCGGCTCTGTGGGCGTGGCTTGGTGGGCGTGGTGTGGCTTGGTGGGCGTGGTGTGGCTTGGTGGGCGTGGCAGGGGAAGGATACTGCAAAATCTCCATTCTCCTGCAGCGCACATAGAACATAATTCAGGTAATGGTCTTTTCCACCCTACTCTAGGGGAAGGATACTGCAAAATCTCGATTCCCACCCCTCTCTGGGGCCAGCCAGAGGTGGCATCTGCAGGTCCTCCGAGCTACTCAAAATTTCCGCTACTGGTTCTCCAGAACCTGCTGGATTTCACCCCTACTTTACTTCTATAAGAGCTTTCCTAACATTGTTAATGCCTTCTTGAAAAGTAGTCCAGTAGTGACAACCAATCCTTGCATTATTACAGTATCCCTGTAATCTCTTCCTTTTGCCTCATAAACATACTTACTTCCCGAAGGAGCTTCAACAGATTAGTCACAGCTGTTCGGAGCCCAGTTGTAGTATCTGACTTTGCATACTGTGTCAAAAGTTCCTGATAACGGTGAAGGCCCCGACGAATCTTCATCAGACACAGCTAAGGCAGAGAGAACAAAAACTGTGGGTCATTTTAATTTGATTCACAAAACACTTGGAGATCCTTCAATAGAGGGAACTTGTTCAAAGCTACAGGCTTCCTTGTATGGCCCTCCTTACTCAGTTGGGGAACCTGTGTTATGGGTTCTTTTAACTGAACCCAATTTGGTGGGCTCGACCCAAAAGAGCCAACAACACAGGTCCCTAGACAACACACAGAAGCACTTCAATACTACTAAACATTAAACACTCTTCTCCACAGCTGCTCTTCCTACTAGTACTCCTTGTGAGTACGGCTAGAGAAAAACATCCCATTCAAGGTGCCCCATGCCCCCTCCCTTTTCTCTTCCTCCCCCTCCCCAGAACCAGCTTTTATAGGCAACCTCGCCTTGCTAAGGTGAGGAGAGGGCTTAGACAGGACAAAAGCAGCACAGGTGCTGCCAATCTTCTGGGCAGCCATTCTGCTCTCACACTCTGGTAAGAACGGAATGGGTGTTCTGCTTTCGGGGGGGGGGGTGGCTCCAACGTGGCAACTTTTAAGATTCGTGGACTTCCAGAATTCCTCAACAAGCCAAGCTGACTGAGGAATTCTGGGAGCTGAAGTCCACAAGTCTTAAAAGTTGCCACGTTTGGAGACCCCCGACTAAATATGAATGATGAGGTTTGACTAGGGCTGCTTATTGAAGAAAATGAAATCAGATATGTAGTAATTTTTCTCTTGTCATGCAAAGTTGGAAACCTTCTTCCATCTTGGCCCACTTTCTTCTTTGATTGCTAGCTATAAACATTGTCCTTCCCATAAAAATGGCCTTCACATTCATCAGCTCAAAGGACAATACCAATAGCACTTAGACTTATATACTGCTTCACAGTGCTTTACATCCCTCTCTAAGTGATTCCTGCATGTATGCCACAAAGCATTTAGTATTAGCCAGATTCCTCAGGCCCCCTCATGAAGACTCTGAATGAGATGTATTCTCTGCATACTGTATTTCTGTAGGGCAAGTCACCTTTTAGAGAAATTTGGCATACCCATAATAGATTTTTATGCAAGAAATCTCCAGAGTCACCTTAGTGAGAGGGATATTGTAGATATTTAATAACAATAGAATAGAATACAATAGAATACAACAGAATGGAACAGAATTCTTTATTGGACAAATGTGATTGGAGAAAATGGATTTGTCTCTTGTGTATAAGCTCTCAGTGTACATGTATGCAACAAGTGATAAATCATAATCATAATTTTTTCCTTGAAACACAATTTAAGCACTATTGTTTTGTTTCGTATAATTAAATCCATAATAATTTACAATGTCTTCATAGTACCATTCAGCCTTTACTTAAGTAAATATAAAGTCTGTCCGCATAGCTATTATTTTTGTACAGTTACAACTGGATGATTTTAGAAACTCTCTACATCACTAGTGGAGAAATGTATTAAAAAAATAAACAGTTATAGTCTTAACTGATTTGCAGCTGTTCTTGGATTAGTTAAAAACCACCCAGATTACAGAAATCACAGACTCGTAGAATGAAGTATTGCTTTACTGTTTGTGACATTTTTAAGCTTTTCAATATGGCTTGATTTGGATAGACATAATTACCGTGCTATTCTTGCTCAAGGAATCTGGATCACAATGATCATTGCATTCAATCCGCCGAGGCAATGAAATATTTATCCGTTTTTCCTAGGGGGGAAATACAGAGGCACTAAATATAAAGATGTATATTGAGCATACTTGAAAAAAATAAATGTTGGAATACACCCATCCCTACCATATAAATCTTATCTTTAATCTTGTTCACCTGTTTCTTTTTCTCTTCTGAAATTATAATTAGTAGAAAATGTCTGTCTATCCCCCTCCACTTGTTTCTCTGTGTGTATCCAAGTAAAGATTGTTCAGCCATTTTTCAAGCATTTGGATAAGCACAAAATTAAATGATCCTTCCCAGCTCTACATTTCTAATCTTTTTTGAGTAAGACTAGGGAGACAGAAGCTCACAGAAGTTTGGACCAAACACACTTTCAGAACCAATCCACTTCACAAATGTGATGGTCATAAAATGAGGAGAGACCCTCCCCCAAATT